AGGTTTGCATCAACTACTTCTAGTTCGGATAATGTGGGTAGTTCGAGTTCGAGAGATGTGGATATTTCAAGAGATGTGGATGTTTCAAGAGATGTGGATAGTTCGAAAGAAAGTGAGTTGCAAGATATCTTGGCTAATCTTATTGCAGACCCCGGACTTCGGCCTCAAATGTTAGACTATGATCCTAATATTAGAGACGAAGTTCGAAGAGCATATCTACAAAAAGGTCCATGTCAGCCTAAGGATCATACATTTCCACAAACTGATCTTTCAGGGTATGATCGACGCTTTAATGTCAAGTGGTTTGATGAGTTTGACTGGTTGGAGTACAGTATTAGTAAAGATGCTGCATTTTGCCTTTATTGTTATCTCTTCAAATCCAATTTCAGAATTGGTCAAGGGTGTAGCGACGCCTTCACAGAAATGGGTTTTAGGAATTGGAAGAAGAAAGAGAAGATTAGGCAACATGTTGGGCATGTTGGAAGTGTTCATAATCAATCTAGACAATATTGTGTGGATCTTATGAATCAAAAGCAACACATCCGAACAGTTTTGATAAAGCAATCAGAGCAAGCTCGTATTGATTATCGTATTTGCTTGACAGCTTCTCTTGATTGCGTGAGATTTTTGTTGAGGCAAGGTCTTCCTTTTCGTGGGCATGATGAGAGTGACACTTCAAGCAACAAGGGGAATTATTTGGAGCTCTTACAATTTCTTGCTGATCATGATGAGAAAGTTAAAGCCGTTGTGTTAGAAAATGCTCCCGGGAATCTCAAGTTAATAGCTCCAACAATTCAAAAAGATCTTGTGAATGCTTGTGCCACTGAAACTATTAAGAAAATCATTAAGGATATGGATGGTGCATTCTTCTCTTTATTAGTTGATGAATCACGTGATGTGTCAGTAAAAGAACAGATGGCGGTGGTGTTTCGTTATGTGGACAAAAGTGGAGATGTAATTGAGAGGTTTGTGGGCATTCAACACGTTAGCGACACTACATCAAACTCACTCAAGGAGGCTATTGACACATTGTTTTCAAGGGAGGAATTGAGCCTTTCCATGCTAAGAGGACAAGGATATGATGGAGCTAGTAATATGAAGGGTGAGTTCAATGGTCTTAAAACCCAGATTTTGAGAGAAAATCCTTGTGCCTATTATATTCATTGTTTTGCACATCAACTTCAATTAGCTCTTGTGGCCGTGGCAAAGGGAAATGCTGATATTGCCACTTTCTTCACATCTTGCAATAGCTTGGTCAATATTGTTGGAGCATCGTGTAAGCGTCGTGACATGCTTAGAGATCAACTACAAAAGGATATTACGGAAGCTCTTGAAAAAGATACTTTTCCAACCGGGCGAGGCTTAAATCAAGAAACTTGTCTCAAGCGTCCAGGTGATACACGTTGGAACTCACATTATGGTACATTACTTAGTATCATCTCCATGTTTAAATCTGTGGTGAAAGTGCTCAAATTGATTATTGAGGATGGCTCCACTGATAATCTAGGTGAAGCAAATAGGTCATTGAGAGAGATACAATCGTTTGAGTTTGTATTTCACCTATTCTTCATGAGATCTATATTGGGAGCCACAAATGACTTGTCACAAGCATTACAAAGGAAAGACCAAGATATTGGGAATGCAATG